TTATATAACAGTTATCGTCTGAAAAAAAAATGGACGAGAAAAGAATTAAAGCCATTAAAGGATGGTGGAGACATGAAAGATTGACGTTAGATGAGAGGGAAAAAAAATCACTAATAATGTCCAACCTCAACTATAAAAAGCTAAAGATAGAAAATGCACCGTCATTTATCAAGAAATTATAAGGGAGAAACAAAAAAAATACTTTAAGAGGAGTGCAACGTGCAGTCCGTGGTCAATCTCCTAGGCGTAGAAGGCATATATTCACCATTGCACATAAATAATCCGCGAAAAAGACGTATCAAAGAGGGAAGGACTTTCAGAGCTTCTTGGGCCAAAATGGAACATGGTATTAGACAGAGTGATTTCCAAAAGAAGAAAAAAAAAATAATATAGTTTATCATATTCGCAACAAGCATTTGCATGCGGAACTCCTTTTGTCTTTATTACTCTTTCGAATGATTTTAGGCCTGAATTAATTGAAATATAACCTCGAAGCGTGGGTTGGTCAAGTCGGGAAGCGTTCTTCAATCTTCATATGGTGTCTACGGATGTTAAATTCAATTTAATAACTTAGTAGCACATAAACAAGTTTTTCTTTGTCCGGCTTTCTAAAGAAATTTATGTTGAAATGAAGTAAAATCACAAGTTACATAAGGGCCAAGAAACAAACTTCAAAGATGCTGTCAAAGCTTAATTACACTAAACCCCCTGAAGTAAAGCTTTAGCCACAGATTTGCCCCCGATATCTTCTAATCGCCACTTGACGCCTATGACTTAGGGTCCAACTTCATGGCTCGTATTTACATTAAAATTGATAGTAGAATGAAATCTATGCAGCTAAACACTCGAGTTCGTAGATTTGCTTACCTTTCTTTTTCTTTCTTCTTTTATTTTCTAGATTTTCTTCCCTATGCTAGTATTATTTGCATACTTTGAATAATTTACCAAATTAATTAGTATACATAATCCGTCTATTTTGTCTGTCAATTTCCACTCTTAATGCGTCATGGTCTATATCACAAGATATTTTATGCTGTTTACGTTGGAAAGCATATTTAATCTGGAATCAATATGCCATAGCATACATACAGACAAGTTAGATGTTATAATTCATTAGTCATTACCTATTGACTTATTAGAAGTAGACGTGCCAAAATAATTTTTTAAAAAGATTTTCAAAGAAAATTGATAATTTTATATTTGATGTAATTGTATCAGTGGACAAAGTGCTATTCCCGGTCTTGTGTTATCAAGAGCTTTTGATCGTTCAAGGGTTAGTTGGCAATGAGACTTGACAACATCAAGTCATCGTATCATCTTCTTGGATGGATTTTTTCCTTTGTGGTTTAGCTCCTCCTAAGATGGATACTTTGGTTTGCCATCAAAATATCATGCCATGCTACAGTATTATCATTGCTGAGCTCTGCGTCTGTTCTGTTGTGCTTCTTCTTAACAGTAGTGTTTGTTTTGATGCATGGCCACGGCCCGAGGTCAGCAGCCTATGCTGCTAGTGTCTGGCACTCGTAATTGTGCCCCCAAGTGTTAAAACCGTTTTCAACTGTTCCACTGCCTTAACAGTAATCCAAGTCGTGGCACGGAATCTGAGCTATATCGGAGTTGCGTTTTTGTCTCTTTTAGTGGAATTATTGATTGTTGACTCCAGGGAAAAGTGTCGACGAGAAGAATTCTGGGGGCAAGGTGCAAGAAACACCTAACTACAAAGGGTTTTGGGTAATTAGGCCTTCTTTTGATAACTTCAATAATTAAGCAAAGCTTTCCAAATCCATTCTTTAACACTTGTAATGGGCGCTAACTGCTATGAGCATATATATATCTCTCTAGTGGTGGTCCGAGCATTCTTGACGCTACCAAGAATAAGATGACCACGATGGCACTGTCTATATATATATATATATATGTATATATATTCTGCGAGAGTGTGATATTATATTATTTGAATTCCAACCCTAAACTAAGCGAAGTGCGAGAATTGTTATAGCATTTACCAGTAAAAAGTTTGCAATCTGCTATTTCTAATGATGATCCTTTTTGCTCATCAACCAACCTTGTAATCCACCAAGGATTACAGTGCAATTAATTTATTATATAAAATAAAAAAATCTCCCTATTGAGGGCTTCAAGGATAACCACTAATGCACCTCAAAATAATTATGCATGTTTTTCTCGCTCTCGAAAGTCAGATTCACTGAATCAAATGCTAAACTGTACTACACGCAAGCAAAGGTAAACTGAATCACTGAATCTCGAAAATCTTTGCTTGATTTGCCATCACTTCTGAGATAAAGACTCAATCATATACTAACATATGTGTAGGCAAACGTAAACAATCAAACTTTCTCTTTCTGGATCTAGTACATTCTTTTTGACTCTTGACGAAGAGATTAGGGAGCTAGTCCCGTCATGAAAACTTTGACGGGGTGAATCAGATGAGCATTCCCGAGTCCAGGAAGCTAGTCCGCCGAAATCCTAAAAATTCAGCATGTTTTGCATGTGCTGGGAAACTGGAGAGAAGCGAAACGTGAAATCTTAGCAAAATTTGATCCGTGTGCCTGGACTTAAAAAGTTGTTTATGGGACTGTCGACTGTGAAGAATGTATTCCAATCTTAAGATGGAAGGTAGAAATTTGGTAAACGAAATTCCCCATTTCTGATTTCTCTACCTGCATATTTCTGTGATACAGACACAGACAACACATGCGTTTATTGCGGATTACGTGATCTGTGTCCTATTTACTACTACTTGATGTGGAGGAGCAGTAGCTGTGGTGGGTTCTTGAGATTCTACTCTATTTTCTTCACCACACGAATATTTCCTAATGGAATATAAAAAGTTTTCGGGGTCAGAAAGCTAAAGCTGTTCCCTACGTCACGAATTGGATTGGCTGTTCCTATATGAATCTTTCTCAATCCATCTAAATAAAGATCTCCACTTTCCTTGGGTTTTCCTAGGTGCTTAGTAAATGCACATCCATCTCTTGTCCTTTCACACTTAAAAAGGATTTTTCAAATTTAACTTCACTTTTCCAAATGTTAACCTGTTGAAATTCATTTTGACATGTACCCATTAAAATACGGACGGGCAGAAACGGTTGCAGGTGCAATCGTTCCTAGCGATTTTATACATTTTGTACACGACGTAATTTTATTTACACACGACGTAACTTTATTTGCACAACATGCAATTTTAAAATAAATTTTTGTGAACCCCACATACATTGTTAAAAACGAGATACAAGAAATGATCTAGACCGTACAAATTTTTTAAGCCAGATCCTGACCGTGCACTGTCCAGATTCTGATGACCATCCCTGCCCCGTCTCCTCAAAATACCCATTTGTCAGATTATAATCTTTTTATTAAGACGAGACTTGAATATAAGCTGAACCTTCCCTCCCACTAATTATCATATTAAAAAGTGACTTTGTTTAAAAAATTCAGGCGGATGTGTAACGCACTCGTTTGGTCCGTTGGTGGTTCAATCCCCTCAGAATTATTCCTGGGCCTCCTTAGATCCGCCCCCTCCCCTTAGTGTAAGATAGATTAGGTTATATAACAGTTATCATCTATGAAAAAAAAAAAGAATATAAGGTGGACCTGACGTTACTTTTTTTTCTTCAAGGTATAGATTTTTTCATACAAGCATATGCAATTCTAAGCAAAAATTCTAAAGTTTTTATATACATATATATATATATATGGTTATTTCATCCCCTTTTATGTGCTTCAAATAAGTTGTCATTGCTGATCATAGAGAAACAGGTGCCACCATTAGTAATGAAAGAAGAGAAAGATGAATAGATACTCGAATTCCAATAAATTGCAGTATCTTCTCGCTAACACTAGGGATCTGTTTAGATTGTAAATTATTTGAGATATTTTTACTGTAGCACTTTTTGTGATGTGATGTATCTGAGATAAAAGGTAATTGAAAAGATAAAAAGGTGTGTTAAAATTGTAATGATGATGTAAGCAAATAAATTTTGACAAATAATCCTCTATCCAAACAAACCTAGTACTGAATCGGAAGACCTCCAACCACGCCGCAGAATCTCCAGTAGCTTGGGTCATCCTGAACCACAAACTTTGTCTAAAATCATAAACATTAATTAAGAATTCCATGCATAGAATGGTATCCACAAACCATGATGGAGTTGAAACCCTACGTGTTTACAGTGGTGGTGACAGCACAGCACTAGTCAAAGCACCATGTATTGGGCGTTGAATGGCACCAGCAAAGATAGACTTAGTGTCATTTTGACCTGTGCTTTCCATGATTAAAGAGAAATTGCTAATGTGAAATCATTCATATCACCACAGACAACGGACACTCCATTGCAGCGCCCGCAACAAGTACTGGATACAAACAGTTTAATCACTTCAGATTTCATCATCCACGTTACTTAAAAAGGAATCCCCTGCCATTAAGCAATTTATCCTGATGGTTTGGTCACTATTTTAGTCGGTTCATAATATGATCTAAAATGGACACTTCACCAAGCACAAAGACCAGAACAAACTCCACTAAAAACAGTTCCACCAAATGCGAAGAATTGAAGCAGGCAAGAATACAAAGCAACCAAAGTCTCAGATACATAAACAGGGTGGAAAATTTCCAATTTGACAAGGCTTCATAAACCGTTCAAAAGTTACATCTCTCGGTCGGCCACCGGCCACGGAAAAAAGTAAAGCTAGCTAGTATCAAAGGTCCAGCATGCCTACAGAGAAAAACAAAAGAAACAAATGACCTTGCCCTAATAACTAACACACAAAAAAAAAATAACTAACACACAAGTTTAGAACTTTTTACAGCAATGCAAACTAATGTTATCATCATTTCAAAGGCCAGCGAAGTCAGTCAAGAAAGTCAAGCAAAAACTGATGCACAAATTCTCCCATCATTGTTTCAAAGAGAACTCATTCCTATGCTACAGTTGTCCAAAATTGTAGATTCTGACAATGAAAGATTGACCATCTGCAAGAATGATCCGTACAATTGTTCAACTATTTACACATAAATATTCATTGCATGAAGATACTTGCCATAAAGGTTTAACTCGCGTATCAATAACCCAAAAAGAAGGACACAATTTCTGATTCTATAAATCATTGCTTCATGACAACCATAATGAAAATGCAGCGAGCACATTGTCCCAGTTTAAATTGTATAGACGGGGAATTGACCAATGTCTAAACACGTAATCACGAGATATTATGACTTCCCTAGCAGAAAGGATGCGTAAACTATACATGCTTTTAGAAGGTTGAGATGATCTTGAGTGTTTCAGTAATAACCATATGATATATGTCACCCATTGGCCCAGCAAAGAAGCAAATACAGTGGCCCTCAACAGAGCACCAAGACACATGCCGCTGCAGTATACCAGGTGTAAGTGGTTCACCATAACAGGCAAAATGTTCTCCATTTATTAAATCCGTGGCCTTATACTTGCTGCGCTCAACCTCTGTAGAGCTGTTTTCCTAATCCATCACATTCTCAAGTCCTAAAAAATGTGTGGCACAACTAATTCTCATTGTCGCTAAATTTGTGTAGGATTTTACAATTTAGAGATTCATGAACTTTGTATCTTGCTCATTCCTTACTTGGAATACTTTTTCTTTTTTTAATTTCCATTTCCTTCAAACAATCCATAATCCAAACAAAGGAATTACTTTCTTTGGAATTGGTTTCCATTTCCCGACCGCTTTCCTTCATTGACCAAACAAGAGAAAGAATTAGGATTTTCAAAGGAATCACTTTCCATTTCCTCGCTTTCCTTTCCTCACTGCTTTCTTGGAACCAAACAGGGCCTAAATCTGCAGGGTTTTAAAATTTAGAAATTCATGAACTTTATATCTTGGTAATCAAATCAGTTGGGATTCATATCTTTTTTTTTTTTTTGAGGCTTTTGTAGAAAATTAGCAATTTAAAATTGTAAGAATACAATGGACAACATTGGAAATTAAAGAGAAAATTACATATTGCCATCAAGTAAAAGAATTTGTGATCGCACAGTATTTTAGTTTCAGAAGGATTTTGACAAGGGAACATCCATAAGCTGGAAAGCAGTTTAAAGACCCAACCCCCTTCCCAACCTCGCCACCACCAACCTCAAAAATAATACATAAATCATAAATGCATTATATACATATATATATATATATATATATATATATATATATATATATATATATATATATATATATAAACTGATGGCCCCATAGATGCAACTTGCAAGAACACTAATCAAACAAGAAAGTAGTGCATTAGGTATAGTTCAGTACGATTAGTGTCTAAATCTAATACCATATTCATGTAAGATACAATTTATCACAATATACAAAAGATGCACCATGGCACACATATATACTTCATGAACAAAGACAGCTAATACCTGGCCATCTCCGGACCTTGGGATCAAATTGACCTTTCATACCAACTTAAAACAACTTAACGATCAGAAGAACGAGCAGTAAAAGCACCAGAAAGTCAGCGCTTTTCTTTTCCATTGCCCCCAGGCGAATCATGATTTTGTTGAACATTTCCTCCCATTAACGCATCCCCTTTAATATCCACCCATGGAAATGCAGCTAGAATCTACTACTTTTTCAACTGAATTATGGTAACATAACTGTTCACGGTCTGTTCTCTTGCTGTATCCCGTAAATTCCATCTTTCTGCATAGACAAATCAAAGACCGCTGATTCTGAATCTTTAACTTTCTCCCTACCATTAGGCCTCCTCCTACTGTCTTTACAGTTGGAGCTCATTCCACGATCTGTCCAAGAACCCCCCCTAACCTGTCCAACTTTTGTTGAATCACCAAAGTTGACATTTCCATTATGATTCTTTCCAAGCTTACTTCTCCAATTCTTCCCGCTGTAGCCCTCATTGGACAGATTATTCAAGTTCTTTTCCCCGTTCGCCCCATTTCTCCTCTTCTTAGCATGTTTGCCATTAATCCCGTGCTCAAGAAGTGCCGTTTCATGATCACCTTCGTCCGCGGAGCCCCGACCCAAGTCAAAATCGGAATTCCCGCCCCACAACTCATCATCAGACATGTCATCTAAATTCTCAATTTTCCCATAAGGCTTGACGCTATGAACGACCCCTTTAGGGAAAAACCGAGATGAGGGAAGCCCGTCGTGGGATTTGAACAGTTCCGGGCCATCTCTATCAGACCACATATCGAACCCACCGGGTTTCTGGAAACGATCAGCCAATACCTTCAACTGCTCATCAGCGGTGACGGAGAACAAAGTAGGAGGTTTCTCGACAACCTCCCAAGGTCTCTCGAGCTCGGAAACGGCGGCTTTGAGTTCGGCCCGCTTTCGCATCTCATAGATTTGGCGTTCGCGGGCCAAGCGGGCCTTGAGGAGCTGCTTAGCTTTCTTGGCCTGCATTCGCTTCCACTGCCACTTTGAAACGCCTCCTGGGTATGTTCGGGGCCCACCACCCATCCTAATCGTCGTCGTTCTGAAGGGATGGCGTGTGGTTGTGAGAGAGAGTAAAGATAATCTGGTGGTGAGGGTGGCGGCGGGTAAAAATTGAACATGGGTCCGACCCGAAATGGTTCCGAGGGACGAGAGATGAAAATTTGGAGGTGGTGCTTGGTTCGAAAGAGATGTGCAGAGCGTTGCCATTAATTAGCTTCACTATTAGGCTTTTCACCGTTACACTTACCTGCTAAGATTAACGGTAACGCCCAATTTCTACACCGTTGACAGCTGACAGGGTGAAGACTGAACTGAAGAATTAAGAATGCAGGACTGAAGATGGCGATGCGATGGAAAAGCTCTTACTCTACTGCGATGAGGACGACGCTCTTGACCCGGAGGGTGAACTTGTGGGTTGTATCATTTGGACTTCCCTTTTTTTTTGGTTGGGGGCCTGGGGGGGTGTGTGGGGAAATAATTTGGGCCATGGCCCGTTGTGGTCCGGCACTGGTATGCTATAATACCGTAGAGGGATCCTCCGTCCCCAAAATGTCAAGACACTAGTCTAACATGGCAGCCCCTCTAAACACAGCACCGCCCGCCAACCCCCCCCCCCCCCCCGCGGGCCAAACATAGCCACCCACCAAAAAAACACAACCCAAAATAAAAAAAAAAGCCTTGAAATGGATATTTAAGTAATAATTGCCGTGGTAAGAGTTAAGAGATGGAGGGAAGTAAGTGAAAAAAAAAATGTTTGTTTGGAAAGAATATTATTTGAAATAATTACTATAATACTTTTTATGACGTGATGTATGTGAGATAAAAAATAATTAAAAATATAAAAAAATGGATTGAAAAATATGTTTATGATACAAGCGAAATATTATTTGAAATAATAATTATATCCAAACACTTTACTGGTTGTTTTCAACTAAACGATTTATGCATTACACTTTGAAGGTTTGACATTTTTGTTCTACATCTAACATACGTTCAAACCTGTTTGCGTAAAAAAATGTTAAATCCTACACTACCAGTACCATGTCAAACACTCGGGAGTAAATAATCCAATCAACAATGTGCACAGAAACATCCAATATGGTGCAGCCCTTTAGCATCTAGATAGTCCTTTTACTTTCTCTCCACGTATCCCTTGAAAACGGAGGGGGCAGAAAAGTAAAAACAGTAAAAATGTCTGTCTTATACTAACTAGAAATGTAATGGATTCGGAAATTAAGCACAAGCGTTCAGCACCAGTGGTCTAGTGGTAGAATAGTACCCTGCCACGGTACAGACCCGGGTTCGATTCCCGGCTGGTGCAAATCCTTTTTCCCGACTGACTAATCGGGCCATTCTTCTTTTTTGTAGACTTGACTATAACATATTACTGACACAGAGTACTTTGTCCAAGCAAAGCCTTTTATAACTGATTCTGCTTCTAAATATTCATCCCAAGTCAAGTCGAACTGGTCTCACATCTAAATTTCATTTGCGGACCTTGTGGTTGTGGTGATCCGTTTGGAAAAATCAGTGTGTGTTGTAGGCTTGTCCATTAGTATTAGTCTCCCTGCAAATGTCATTGTTCTGTTGCTTCCCTTTTTCAATAATATAAAATAAAAAGCATCAATTGTACAAAGTGTAATATTAATGTCATTCTTTATTTCTTAATGACATTTATTTTTATTTTTTAATCGTGTGAATTAGACAAGAATAGTTATATTCTTAGTTGACGTTGAATTTACAATCACCCTTATTGTGAAACCAAAAAATAAAATAAAATGAATTTTTATCTTTCGACATGAATTTTAAAAAAAATGGTCAAAAGCAATGCAATTAACAAACAGAGGGCTATTAACATTTCCTTTGTACAAAGAAGTATCTTACATAATGTAGCAACTTTTTAGCTCTACTTAATGAGTTTCATAGGCTCTATTTTCCTTTTCTCCTTTTCTAAGTTTAGGCTTTTGACCCTGCGTCCGGCTATACGGTGGAGCAACTATAATATCTGAGGCCACTGATGAGATGAGCGCATTTCGTCCCACTTGAATTTTTCTTTTTGATTAGTGGACTTTGCCCTACAGCGAAACACCACACGAGTTTTGTTCAAATCGAATTTATCTCAGTGTAGTGCAGGAGACAATCTATGACAGGAATTGCTCGTCTAATATAATAGAATTGTTTCTGTCACTTGCCTTGGCTTCCAGTGCTTCCAGGTAAAACAAATCATCTTTTGTTTCCGACAGCCAGGTTGGCACCTGGTTAATTCAAGACGGTATCAAAATGATAAAATTTGCAGCAGCTGCAGCTTCCTTTGTCGAATGTCGATCTAGCAATGTGGTACTGAGAGAAATTGTTAACGGTGTTTCTGATCTAAAAGCCAATTCTCGTGGGTGAACGAAATTTCAGGTTGCGTGCCAGGGTACTCCACTGAATAAGCAAATAATAGCCTCCTGCAATTTGGAACAATGAAGCCGCAGGAAATTTACATACCAGATTGCTGTCGGCTTGTTGCTTGATATTGGAACAATGAAGCCATAGGAAGTTGACTCTGGGACATGGGATTCTTTAATCACACCAGTCCATTGTCCTGATGTTGCTTTGGTACCAATAGTAAGTTTGTTGAGCGAATCTGTAGCCAAAAGCTTTTTGGCTTTTGCAGGTGTGGGAATTTTTCACTCGATCACAGACAACATGCAGGACCCTCTTCTGCTTTCTTAAAGTGCTTCTTGTGTTTATGCTATATGTTGCATGTATCAGAATTGTGAATTCGGACGGAAATAATTGGATTTAGTTTCGGCGCTTTGCTTGCATTGTCTCCGACCAAAAGATTCTTACCAATGCAGGAACCGAGGTTAAAACTTCGAACCCGTGCTATGTATCTCCGCCTGGGATCCAATTCAACCACGAAGATACTGTCCAGGTTGCACTTCAATTTGCCCATGGCTATGGATATCGACACGGACAAAAGTTTGAAAATATTGAATCAGAATTCATATCCAGGAATCAATTACTTACCGGAAACAACTCTTACTCGAAAAGTAAGGTCCATTTTGGAGTATAAAAATTTTTATGCTGGAGCTCTTGTTCCGAAAATAAAAAACTGAAAGAGCTAAAGAGAATAATACTCCAATTGTGGATACCGAGTGCTAGTGACACGTTTAATGCATTGCTCAACGGAAAGAACTTTCGGTATGCTGTGTCATCCTGATCAAGTAAAGTTTATGACTAAAATCCTAGCTCAATTACGAGATGGGCAACCTTTCCAATGAGAATTCGACAGCCTTTATCAGCAGCGGTGGTGGCTCGAGTTTCCAAAGTGCCTTCGCTCTTGGGGAACGAACGTCTACTAGCGCCTGCGGGGGATGGCTGTACCTTTTAGAAGCATTAACTCATCATCTTCCGGCATATTTTGTACCCTTTTTTGGGTGATAGTATGGGGTGGTTTTAAAAAGATGCTGTAGTTTTCTCGGAATCACGCCTCCGCCACAATCGCATTGCAAGGATTTTAGAATTAAGCATGACAGAAATCATGTTCCCAGTTGTCTTCGTGGAATTTTATAATGCTTACACGTGTAGTTTCGTTGATTTCCTCCATTCTGCCGACAATACTGCAACAAATAATAGGATATTACGTAAACCATCATCGAGCCGTAGGATAGGAACTTTTCAGCAAACTACAAAAAGCATTATTTGATTTTCTACAATTACTGTCCCCATGCACCGATACTATATATACGGCGGCGAAGCCCCGTTGTAATCAACCTGCATTGCCTGCCTGCACCGAAAGAAAGCATCTTCCCAGAGAAATATACACCACTCCGCAGTCAACAATGGCTCGATCTCTTCTTCTTTGCTTGATCGTTTTGATGGATGCGTTACTGATCGTAACCGAGGCCGATTACGCGGCACCTTCGGTCAATCCACAGCCACCAGCCTCTAGCCCATCATACATCAAGGCAAGAAAACAAGAAGCATCTCAAATTCGAAAACTCGGAAAGCACCGCAACAAATCCATCAGCTCCTCTGCTGCACCAGGATTGAGCCCATCGCAAGCGCCCCAAACCCAGACAAAAGAGAACTTGCATTTGCCGGAAGCAATAAGCTCCTTGGGTGAAAAAAGTGCGACTGCCCAACTTCAGGGCACCCGTATGACGCAGCAACACCACCACTCATTTGACAAATCAGTCGCTGGTGGCGGAGTAATCCTTGGTGGCTTGGGCATGGCATTTTTAGTCGCAGTTGCCTTCTACATTAGAGCTACCAGGAGGAGGAACACCACAGAGCCAGTTGGTCCTGTTGCTGAGGTTGCCAAAGTGTGACTCGTTAATTAGGCTCTCCGCACATAGATGCACGAGGAAAACTCCACCACCCGGAAAAGGAAAAAAAAAAAAAAACTCCTTTTTTCAATATACTGTAAAGCACATACTGTAGGATTTTTTATTCTGCAAAACCTTATTGACAATGAGAAATGAGAGAGTTAATCCGTCATTTTCTAGCTTGCTGACATTTTTTGGCACGACTTCGTAAGGTAATTTGGATCTCGCAACTAAAAACCGTTGAGGTTCATTTCACTTGCCACTATACCACTGAAGGGAGATTTGTAATTGATGAAGAGGCGGCGAACTTACTAACGGGCACGCAACTATGGAGACAAAGCTAATTGCTTGATCCCTGCTCCATTTGCACACTTGATCAGTTACGTTCAACCTAAAATGTCAGTCAAGAGCCAAAATTAACCTCAAAAGCTAGTAAAAATCGACAGAATCACTTTAAAATTTCAAATCTATAGTTTGAGGCACCCAAGACCTCTTCCTCGGGACACGCACTTATCAAACAAGATCACACCCTCACGACTCAAACGGCCTCACGAGCATAGCACGTAGTGGACATGAAGTGATTAACGTGACCTTCTGAGTTTCCACACACTTTTGTAGGTATATCTAACTAAATACGCAAACTTACAGTCGACCTATAGTTGCATCCCATCTCATTAAAGTGACCCGAAGTCTAATAACCTACCAATCATCCCACTATAAAATACCTCATTTCGCATATTCCTTAAGATAACTAATTACAAAACCTAATCCCCTCGTCTCTTTATTACCGAACTCCCACCTTTACTAACTAAGACATCGGAGTTGAACCGGGCCAGCCCCGTCTCTGCTTCGCTGTTTTGCAGGAACCGGTCCCGGGATTGCGGATCTCATCCTCCTCAGAAACTCGATTTCGTGTTCGTACACAATTATTAACAGAAGTCTAGCACTAATACACTAACCACTCAAACTTCCTTTTTTTTATTTTTTGAGGGGGTGTCGGGGGTCGGAGAAGGGTTCTTTTCCAGTCAGATGGAGGCATCAAGCCTAACCTTTACAGAATAAATTAATGATCCGCATTCCATTCGGAAGATCCAAAAGAAAGATGTACCCAGGTTGCATTTTAGACATAATCTTCACAACCCATCTGCTGACCGTCCCACGAGGCCCACAAAGCCCAAACTTCTACTTACCAATCTGGTTTCTGTACCAATGTAAAAGTGCAAAACCCACGAGCCAGCT